AACGAGCCCAGTTCCCTCAGCCTTTCCTCATAGCAGAGCTGCTCCAGCCCTCTGCTCACGTCCAGCTTCTCGTCCACCCGGACCCCCAAGCCCTTCTCCGCAGGGCTGCTGTCCAGGAGCTCCCCCCCAGTCTGTATCAATACCTCAAGGGAGCCTACAGACAGGAGGGGAGTCAGCTCTTGGGAAGGGGAGATGGCAGCAGGACAAGGGGATGGTTGGAATTGAGGGAGGGCGGATTTCAGTTGGACATCAGGGGGAAGTTGTTTGCTGTGAGAGCGGTGAGGTGCTGGAACAGCTGCCCAGAGAGGCTGTGGATGCCCCGTCCATCCCTGGAGGTGTTGGAGGCCAGGTTGGATGGGGCCCTGGGCAGCCTGGGCTGCTGTGAAACGTGGAGGTTGGTGGCCCTGCCTGCGGTGGGGGTTGGAGCTTCGTGATCCTTGAGGTCCCTTCCAACCCAACCATCTGTGATTCTGTGAACTCACTGAGGGTGCACTGGATGCCATTGTCTGTCGTTGATGAAGATGCTGAAGAGCACCACTCCCAGGACCGACTCCTGAGGGACAGCGTTTGTGACCTGCCTGCACCCTGACACAGAACCATTGATCACAGCCCTTTGGCTGCGTCCAGCCAGCCCATTCCTAATGCATCCAACAGTCCATCCTTCAAATCCACACCTCTCCCATTTAGAGAGCAGGATGTGGTGAGGGACCGTGTCAGAGGCCTTGCAGAAGTCAGGTAGATGAAATCCATCACCTTTCCCCTGTCCACCAAAGCTGTCACTCCATCGTAGAAAGAAACCAGGTTGGTCAGGCACGATCTGCCCTTGGTGAAGCCACGCTGGCTGTCTCAAATCACCTCTTTCAACCTAGGCCATTCTGTGATTCTATAAGGCCTGGTAATTGCTTGATGTACGTTGAAATTACGGATTTTATTGGCTGCCCCACTGTTCCAGTATGGACAGCTGGAGGTGCGATGGGGTCAGGGTTCGAAACAATTCTACAAAGCCACTGCAGATGGTGATGTTTCTTTGAAAGATGCCAAAGTTGATCAGCAGGAGATTATATCCTGGTGCAGCCCTGCAGGGGTGAAAATGGGATTGCCTGTGATGTCCTTATGCAGGATGTGACAGAAGAGTTTTCATTGCCTGTTACACTGCTGTGATTTTGCACAACGCTTTCACAGGAGGGAAGGTGACTGCTGTAGTCTTTGATGTCATTTCTTCCTGTTTGGAAACTCCTTTAAATGTCAATCAGGAGCTACAGTGATTGCATAGAAGGGCTTCTAATGAAATCTGGTCCCGTTCCTTAAGAAAAAACAGAGGTGGGATTGAATTCCTGGCTATGGGAGCTGTGACTCACTACTCTGTTATGGTAGAATTCCTTTTGTAAATCACAGAATCACAGAATCACAGAATGGCCAGGGTTGGAAGGGACCTCAAGGATGATGAATCTCCAACTCCCTGCCACACGCAGGGCCACCAACCTCCACATTTCACAGCAGCCCAGGCTGCCCAGGGCCCC